GGACATGACTGAGCAGCCCAGCGCAGCACAGCAGCTCCACCATCTGGCCCTCTTCATTTTCAGTTCCCCCGTGGTCCAGGGCTGGGTGGGCAGCGAGGTCTGAGATGGGAGAGCCTCCGGGAGAGCCTCCCTGCACCTCCCCACTGTGGGCTTTCTGGAAAAGGGGGCTGAGGAAGGGTGCTCGGAGTCAGGGGGAGCTGGGAGCTGGTGGTGGGAAGGAGGGCGGGGGTGGGGAGGGGTTGGCCAGGCTAGGCTGAGGAGGTGAACTAGGAGAGGATGCTTGTTGGAGAGGCAGGTGTGAGTGCCTGGAGGTAGGTGAGTGTAACAGCCTGTGTGCAGTGGGTGCAGAGGCTGGTGTGTGAGAAGGTGTGGAAGATGCTGTGTGTGTGTGAGAGAGAGAGAGAGAGGGAGAGAGAGAGAGACTTTGGGGGGAGAAGGGAGGGCGGGAAAAGGGTGTGGAGAGACTGTCGGGAGAAGATGGGTGTGTGTGACTACATGCGAGGAATGTTGCGGGTGATCAAGAGAAAGGGGGTGACGTGGAGACTCCTGAGAGAGGCCACGAGGAAGGAAATGTGCTCCTACGGGCAGCGGAGCGAGAGAGGAGGGGCCCACGGCTGAGCGGAAGTATGGGTCCCAGCAGGAGGGGCGTGGGGGGGCCTGGGTGCCGCTGGGTGAAGCGTGGGAGATGGTTCAAGAATTGGCACCTCTGGGTGAAAGATTATGGCCACGTGGCCCCTGAATGGGGCAAGCAGGTGTCTGTCTGTGTGTACAGTTACGATTCGACTTGCCTGTAACATAAAACCCCACAGCAGTCAAAACAAGAGAGGTTTGTTTCCCCCTTTCATTCTGGAAGCTGGCAGTCGGACTCGTGTGACAGTGCCAGGGTCATCGGCGCTCCCGTAGGCTCTGTTTTCGGGGTCACCTCCTGTCCCCAACACAGAGCTTTCCCTGGAGCCTCTCCCCCGGAAGGCAGCAGCAGGGGCCTGGCACGCGCTGTCTGCTCTTATAAGTGCAGAGGGCTGCCCCCTGCTTTTCCCAGAACTGCCTTCTCCCAGTGAGATACAGAGGGTCTTGGGCAGGGAGTGGATGCAGAGAAGAATAGAATATCTGGGAGAGGGCTCAGTGGGAAGCTGGGAAATGCAGAAAGATCACTGGGTTGAGTCAGGAGATCTGGGTGCCTGGGCCTGGCCTTGCAGCTGTGTGACCTTGAGGGTCACATCCCCTGCTGGAACCTCACTGGAGCATGAAAAAGCTCCCCTGAACCTTCTAGAAGCCAAAATCGCAGCTGCAGGACTGCCAGTCTGCAGGAGCCCAGGTACAAGGAAGCCCAAGGAGAGCCCTCTTCTTGTAGGGGGCGGGAGGTTTCCATGGAGGCCCCAGAGCATGGGTGCCTTCGCTCAGCTTTGTGTCAGACTGAGGACACTGCATAGATAAGGCGGAGTTGCTGTCCTGAGCCAGGGGCACAGTGTGGAGGGCCTGGGGGACTTGTTGCCCAGGCAGAAGACACTGCACGAGGACTAAGGACTAAGATGCACGCTGGCCTAGCACAGCTCAAGTTTCTGATTCAGCTCTAAGCCAGAGATTCATGCATGCTACCCCCAGGCTGAAAATCCAGTGATGGCTTCCAGTGGTCTGCGAGATGAAGCTCAGACTCTTTGACTGGGCTCGCAGACCCTGTCCCTGCCCTCCCACCAGCCTCTTCCTTCCACTCTCACTGCCCTCCCCTCCCTCCCCTCCCTGTACTCCCATCACTTTCCTTAGGGCCCTGGCCTGCTCTTGTTTGTTCAGTCCATCCTTGATTTATTCATTTCCAGATATGTATTGAGAACCTGTTGTGTTCTAGTGGGTGGGGATACAATGCAAATAATATACTATCCCAGCCTCAAGAAGTTGAGTCTGGAAGGAAAGACAAGGAAAGAGGTCATTCCAGACAGTGGGAGGAAGGTAGGAATTGGACCTGGCCAACTCTGCTGGAGGGTTGCTGGGGGTGATGGATGCATGTGAACTGAGTCCTGAAGGATGCTGGGCAGGATGGGACAGGGCATCCCTGACAGGCATCAACTCATAGAAGGGCACATGGCCTTGCTTATTCTGGAAACCGCCATCTCTTTGGTTCAGTGCTCAGAACTGTCAGCAAAGATGTGGATGCCAGCCTCTCGGGGGTACACTTTATGGTGAGGACAAAAGAAGCCTTGGAAGGGCATTAGGCAGATCATAAGACAGTAGTGTGATAAGATGGATGGGTGGGGACATGAAGATGCCTTATGTACCTCCCCATCTTCTGTAATGGGGCTTCCCAGGTGGCGCTCATGATAAAGAAGTTGCCTGCCAATGCAGGAGGTACAAGAGACGTGGGTTCGATCCCTGGGTCGAGACAAGCCCCTGGAGTAGGAAATGGCAACCCACTGCAGTATTCTTGCCTGGGAAATCCCATGGACAGAGGAGCCTGGCGGGCTACAGTCCATGGGGTCACAAAGAGTCGGACACGGCTGACCACACAGCACACACACACACATTTTCTGTAATTGCCTCTCTCTTGGCTAGAAAGCCCCCTATCCTCTCATTGTCCAGAACCAGTGAAATATCTTTCAGTCTAGTACAGGGGTTCTCAGCCTCCAGGATCTAGTGCCTGATGATCTGAGGCGAAACTGATATATAACAATAGAAATAAAGCACACAATAAATGTAACACACTTGAATCATCCCCAAACCATCCATCCATGCCTGCCTCCCGCCCCCCAACCAGGTTCGTGGGGAAATTGTCTTCCACGAAACCTGTCTCTGGTGCCAAAAAGGTGGAGGACCCCTGTTCTAGTTGAAGTCTTCCCTCCCTCCACCCCTCCCAGCCCCACACCCAAAGGGATGGGAGCACTTCCTCAACCATCCTTTACCCTATAGCAGAATTCCAGGAACCGTGCAGTCCATGGGGTCGCAAAGAGTCGGACACAACTCAGCGACTTTCACTTCCACCTTTATCCTATAGCACTTTGCATAAGCCTCAACCCTAGGCCTCATCATGGGCCCTGTCTTCAGTTGTAGGTCAGCTTCCCCTATGAGTCCCTTGGAGACTGGCGCCTTGACCTTGGTCTTGCCCGCTGCCCGGCCCTGCCACCTGTGATGCTAGTCAGCACTCTCCCACCAACTTGCTGACTACCTACAAGCTCCAGCAGAGTCACCTGACTTCTCTGGGGCTCTGGTGTGTCTCTGGAAGAAAGCTCTTTTTTCTTGCCTCTGCAGGTCTGGAGTTGATCACAGTGGGAGCTAGGCCAGGGATTGCAACAATTCTAGAGAAAAACTGAAGAAGTCCAGCCCATTCTGTTCTGAGACCTTTCACTCATTTTTCCTGAGTTCAGCCCATGCTGTTCTGAGACCTTTCACTCATTTTTCCTCACAGGAATTCCTTGAGGTGTAGGTATTGTTGGTTGTACTCACTTTATACATGTAGAAACTAAGATACAGAGAGGTCAGGTGCATCCCCCAGGATGACATGGCATGTATCAGCAAAGCCGGGGTTTGAATGCAGGCAGCACTGGCTCCAGAGCCTTTGCTCTTAACTATCCTGCTCTCTGAGAACCTTTAAACCACCCACAAAGGACTTCAGCAAATGCTCACTACAGTAAATTCCCTACATACAAATGAGTTCCCTCTGGGAGTACATTCGTAAGTCCAATTTGTTCGTTAAGTCCATCAAGTTTAGCCCAGGTACCAACTAACACAGTTGGCTATATAGTACTGTACTGTCATGGGTTTATACTTTTCACACAAATAATACATTAAAAAACACAGAAACTAAAACATTTTTAATCTTACAATATAGTACCTTGAAAAGCACAGTAGTACGGTACAATAGCTGGCATACAGGGGCTGGCATCGAGCGAACAGGCAAGAAGAGTTACCGACTGGAGGAGGGAGAGGAGGTGGGAGGTGGTGGAGCTGAAGGACCGTCAGCAATAGGAGGTGGAGGGCGAGCTGCAAGCTCACTCGCCCGACGCTGATGGCACAGGTTCTGGTTCCTTGGTGGGACCAGATGCACGTTGGCATCTTAGAACATTCGCAGCTTGAAAGTGCGTATAGGGGACTTGCCGTATCTCTGTGACCATCCCCTCTGTGTGGCCCAGTTTCAGCCCTGGTAACCATCCCCTCCTCTTCTTCCTGGTGGCCTGTTCCTGGTGGGCTGGAGGCTCCTAGGAGCCCATGGGAGAAGGAGCCTTTAGAAACTGCCCATCTTGGACGTTCTAGCCTGAGACCTGGGCCTGAAAAGCCTGCCATATGCTCTTCCCCAGCTGTGTTGTCTGCCTTGGACATTAGGCCACATCTGGGTGGATCATCTTCGGGGATTCTTGGGCAAGGAGGAAACCCGGGAGCTTAGCATCTGGTCAGATGTTCCCTGAAGCAGGGGGCCCTCTCCCCCTGCTCTGTCCTCTGTGCTGGAGGGAAAGGGGGCCCTGGGAGTGAGTCTGGGGCGTGGGGAGTAGAAGGTAGGAGAGACACTGGTCATGATGATGGAGCCACAGAGATCCAGCTGCTTGGATTGCTGTCTCCCTCCCAGGCTCAGCACAGGGAGCTTGGTTTCCTGGAGATGCAGATTAAGAAGGTTGGAAAATTCAAGGTTTACAGAGGCCATGGGCAAAACAGGCAGAGGGATTAGAAAGGTGATCCTGCGTCATCTTACCCTGATGTTTGCGTCAGATGCTGTTGACTGTTAGTCACACACAACCTTGAATGGGAGGCACCATAGTCCTGGGGCAGGTCTGCAGAAGACACGCAGACCACGTGGCAGGAAGAGGGCCCTGCATTCTCTTCTGTTACTCACTGGCTGTGTGGCTGTGGGCAGACCACACTCTCTCTCTGGGCCTGAGCTTTAGTTTCTTTAGAAAGTGAAAGTGGTAGTTGCTCAGTCGTGTCCGACTGTTTGCAGCCCCAGGGACTGTAGCCCACCAGGCTCCTCTGTCCATGAAACTCTCCAGCCAAGAATATGGAAGTGAGTTGCCATCTCCTCCAGGGAATCCTCTCGACCCAGGGATCGAACCTAAGTCTCCTGCACTGCAGGCAGACTCCTAACCATCTGGTCTGTAACTGGGCATCAAAGACATTGGATTAGTTGATCTGGAAGCAGTTGTGCATTGTGGTTGTGAGAATTTGGATTTTGGAGGCAGGGTTAAAAATTTTGGCTGCATTTCCTCTTGGTCTCATGACCTTGAGCAAGTTGTCCAATCCAAACACAGTAATAATCATAGTTACTACCTCCTGTTGTTGTGAAGATTTGAATGGGGCAGTATAATCTTTTTGACTCATGGTAACAGTGACTTGTCCCTTCCAGTTATAAACCTCAATAAATCTTTGTCCTTTGTAAAAATAAATGAGAGACATAGAGGAAATCTATCTCAACAAAAAAATTCTCATCCCCTTGCTTCACCCGCAGTCAAATTCCCATTTTGGTAGCATTTTGCTATTGTCATTGACATTGTTATTTAATCTAGAAGCAGGGAAGATATTCTGACAGATTTCATTCACCCCCTGGTCTGGTCTAGAAGTTCAAATACTTTCTCTGGCTAGTGGTAGATGGGTGGTGTCCAAGCCAGGAGGCCAGCTCAGGGCAGCCCACAGACCACAGGCTATGGCACGTGCCTGTGGTATCGGAGAAGATGCTGTGAATATCCCAGAAGATATTCTCTTCAAGGGTCATGGCTGAAAATACCTGGACTTTGGATCCTGCCTGGGGGTCCTGCCAGGGACATCTGCCTAACCCAGCCCCAGGAGAGGAAATCTGGTATCAAGTCTCACCTGGCAAAAACCAAGTGGAAAACGCACACATGTACCAACTCCAATCTCCCCTCAGCCGGCCCGAGGGTGTGGAAGATTGGATGACTGAGGTTTGGCAGGGCAAAGAGAGCCTAGTCTCATGGCCTGAGAGCGAATTTCCTGCTGAGAGGAAGCTGAGGTTACCCAAGCTGTGATTCACCTTCCCTCCAAGTCTGGGACCAGGAGCAACCTAACATAACCTTTCTCACCAGCTGGGCCTCAGTCTCCCTTTCTACAATCTTGGTGGAAAATCTCCCTGGACACTCCCACCCCTCAATGTTCCAGAGACCATTTATAGTGAAGGGAAGTAGGGAAAGTGCTTGTAGAGTCAGAGGAATTCCAAAGGGCATGGGGGTGGTGGTGGGGAGAAAATTCCCTGGTGGTTCAGTGGTTAAGACTTTGCCTGCCAACGCAGAGGGTACCAGTTTGATCCCTGGTCAGGGAGCTAAGATAAGATCCCACATGCCTTGGGACCCAAAAACCAAAACTTAAGACTGAAGCAATATTGTAACAAGTTCAATAAAGACTTTAAAAATGGTCCACATCAAAAGACTCTAAAACAAACAAAAATAAAAAGGACAAAAAGGGCATGGGGACTTGTGGGATGATAGCACTGACCCGTTTGAGATCACCTGTAACACTGGCTGGTCATCTGCAGTGGGACAGTGGCCCCAGCCAGCGTCGCTGAGCCCTTGACTCCGGGCGGGCATTCTCTGTGCCTTCCCTTCACAGCAGCCTGTTTTGTCCTCATCACAACCCTTCAGGTAAAAGTGGCATCATCCCCACTTTACAAACGAGGCTTAGAGAAACTGGGAGATGAGCCTGGACACCACTAATACACTGCAGACTTGGAGGGGAACCCTGGGTCCCTCACTGCCTACACCAGAATCCAAGGGGGCTCCTCAGACCCTGTTCTCAGAGCATTTAACTTGGCAGGAAGTGCTCAGTGAACTGGGATGTTTGGTGAGTGAGCCCAGGGCACGGTCATTGAAGGATTCATATCTATATAGGCTCTATACCCTCTGCGCTGGTACAGGACCACTAGGGTTCCTGGAGGAACCATCAGTGTGACCAGGGTCCCCCCCAGGCCGAGGGGATCTTCACACACTTAGACCGCTGCTGACTGGGACCTGCTGATGTCTCATCGGGGGCCATTAGCCAAGGCACAGAGCTGGGTGAGAACAAAGGACACCTCGGGTGCCCAGGGTTTCAGCAGCCCGTTTGGAAAGGGAACCCCATCCCATGGCCCCTCTCTGGCCTCCCTGATTCACACAGTGAGTCAGTGACAGGAAGGAGCCCTTGGCCTGCTGGTCATGCCGTTAGTAACCCCATGGGGAAAGGGGAAGTGGGGCGGGAAGGGGAAAGGTGAGCCATCACAGCGCCCTTGGCAACAGCTGTTGTTGTGTCTGCTCTTAACCCCATCTTGACCCCGCCACCTCCATCTGAGATGCGGTGGCCAGGAGCCTGGATGACCAGAAGCACCAGGGGCATTCTCCCCAAACCTACTGAATGGGAAAGTCAGCAAGAGGAACTCTGAGATCTGTGCTTGTAAAAAGTGCAGCCTCTCCCTTGTGACACCCTGGTTAGGCAGTCGTAGGGGCCCTGACTCACCCTGATCAGGGAACACAGGGGTGCCACAGAGGGGAAGCATTAGCTATGAATGAACCAGGTGCCAAAAGGGGTGGTTTCCTTTAAGGTGAAGTTCTGTGCTTTTTAAACAGCCTTGTTTTGGAAAGCTTTCTTGCGGTTCACTCTGTGAATTTTCCAGAAGGCTTTGGAACATCTGGGATGTGTTCTTTCTTTTAAGTCATGGGTTTAAATGGGAAAAAAAGAAATTCCCAGGACAGCAGGAGGGAGGTGTCCATTGCAGGACAGTGTCCAGGCCTGTTTCCTCTTGGGGGGGGGTCTGAGCTGAGCACTGGGCGGGGTGGGGGGACTGGTGAGGAGGCCCCACCCCCTCCAACCAGCCCCCATCGTTCTGCCCTTCCCCATCAGGATGTGAAGATCTTCCGGGCCTTGATTCTGGGGGAGCTGGAGAAGGGGCAGAGTCAGTTCCAGGCTCTCTGCTTCGTTACCCGGCTGCACCACAATGAGATCATTCCCAGCGAGGCCATGGCCAAGCTCCGGCAGGTGAGTGCCCACCCCAGGCCTGCCCCAGAGCCCCCACGCACCCCTGCAGCTGAGCCCTGGCCTGGACCCCATCCACCCCAACCTCAATCTCCCACCCCACCCTGATCCACCTAATCCCTGGCCCCACACTCAGCCTCTACTCCTGAACCCCCTGATTATGCCCGAGGCCACACCTGATCCCATAACCCCAGATCCCTAGTCTGCACTGAACCCCCATCTCTCAAATTCTTCCTGCCCCCAACCTCAGCCCCTCCCCATTTATGATGGAGGCAAGTCAGATCTGCCTTTAGCTGTGGCACCGCCACTCAGCATCTGGGTGACTCTAAACGCGTCACTTCCCTTCCAAGTCCCTATTTTCTTTTTTTTTTGACCATGCCACAGGGCATGTAGAATTTTAGTTTCCTAACCCGGAATGGAACCCGCACCCGCTACATTTGAAGCTTGGTCTTAACCACTGGTCCTCCAGAAAAGTCCCTCAAAGCCCCTATTTTCTTACTGAGAGATGGGTTATGGTGAGAATTAAGTGGGATGGAGCATGTAAAGTGTTCAATGCAGCTTTGGAACCCCTCAGCCTGTTGCCTGCTCCCAGTCCCTTCCCCGACCCTGGGCCTCTCCCCAGCCTCATGTAAGCTCCCTAAACTCTCCAGCAGGACCTGTCCTTAGTCCCACCCTTCTGTCTGCTTTTCCCAGAGAAACTCAGTTACCTGGATATTGGAAAGTACAGGACCACAGCAGTCATTGACCCTGGGACAACTGGCCTGCCCTGCCCACCTCCAACACCACCCCCACCTTCCCAGCAACATGTCAGAATTCTCCCTTAGGTCTTAGAAGTCAGCCCAGTGGCAGGCTGAAAAGGCTTGACTGTGCCCTCGGTATCAGTTTTTCCACCAGTTGAAGGGGGGCTGGTTCCCCCTGACTGTCACCCTGCAGGTGGCCCCAAGGATCTGAAGGCAGCCAGCCTGGGCTTGTCTGACAATCAGCGACCAGGGAAAGAGTGGGAAGGGCACTGTCTGAGGCCGGGTGGGAACAACTCTTCTTTTCCACCCAGAAAAACCCACGGGCAGTGCGGCAGGCTGAGGAGGTGCGGGGCCCAGAGCAAATGCACATGGACATCGCCGTCAACTTCAGCCAGGGGGCGCTGCTGAGCCCCCATCTCCGCAATGTATGTGCTGAGGCTGTGGATGCCATCTACACCCGCCAGGAAGACGTCCGGTTCTGGCTGGAGCAAGGTCAGCTGGGTGTGGCCCACTGCTGTATCATCTCAAATATGATGGGAGCAATGACGAGATAGGGGAATTCTTCACCCAGCTGGGACTAGTCAGGGAGGGCTTCCTGGAGGAAGTGATGCCTGTGTGGCTCTTTATTGAGGGGAGCCAGTGAAAGGGATCGATTCCAGGTAGGGACATGCAGAAGAGTGACTCTGCTAGGCCCTGAGGAGGGAATTCCCAGACAACTCCACCCTCCCCAGCCCCACCCCTGCCCCATCTGTGCCCTGAGTGAGAACACAGGTGAAACCTGTCGTGAACATGCGCAGGAAGCAGGGTCTGGATGGGGCCCAAAGACACCCGTTCCCACCTGGCTACCTCTGCTGCTGCCTCTCAAAGTTCAGCTCCACTCCTTCCCTTCACACCTTCTGGGGGCCCAGTGTCTCTCCCCCAGGACCCTGGAGAACGCCTCCCATCCTGGCGTGGCCCCTGCCTTCCGGGCCTGTGTGACCTCACTCCTGGCCCATCTCCCGGTCATCTTTCCCAGCCCTGTCCTTGACTCCTCTCTGTAGGGAGGGCAGAGAGATATCGCCATTCTGACGCCAGTTCCCTGGTTCTTCTGCCTGGCTGGCTGAGCATAAGAGAAATGCCTGCTCCTCCCAGAGCACTACTGGATTTAGAAATACCCGACAGAGCTGTGGCTGTGCCCCCCACAACACCCGCCCCTCCCCTCTGGGCTGCACCCCAGACCGAGGTGCAAGCCACATGCTGGGTGCAAGCCACATGCTGTCCTCCAGGGACCAGGGGCTGGTCCCTCCCGTGGTTGCTGAGCCGAGCCTGGGCTCGGTCACTGCTCTGTGCCCCCAGCACCCTGCCCGAGTGTACCCTGTGTCCTGGCTACCCTGGCTTCCCCAGCATGTTTTGCTGGCCCTTCCCTCCCTGGCCCTCCTCAGATACCACCTCCTTTAGAAGCTTCCCTTGCTTTCCTGCTCCTCCTCCCCACGCCTCTGTGCCATCATGTCCAGCACAGTAATGGTTTTAGGCGTAGGGTGGTGTGGCACTGGCAAGGGTAAGTGCATGCCTTGAAGTCAGACAGTCCTGAATCCCTACTTACTGTGTGACGTCAGCCAGGCCAATAACCTCTCTGGGCCAGTTTTCTCATCTGTAAAACAAGGATAACACTTAGCTCCTGGGGGCACGGGAATGCCTGAAGGGGCCATGCAGGGAGGCCCTCGCCCCCGCCCTGACCCCCGCCTTTTCTCCCAGGTGTGGATGGCTCTGTGTTCGAGGCTCTCCCCAAGGCCTCGGAGCAGCTGTTGCTGCCTCGCTGCGGGCAGGTGGGGGACCGCGGGAAGCCCTGCGTCTGCCGCTATGGTCTGAGCCTGGCCTGGTACCCCTGCATGCTCAAGTACTGCCACGGCCACGACCGCCCAGCGCCCTACAAGTGCGGCATCCGCAGCTGCCAGAAGAACTACAGCTTCGACTTCTACGTGCCCCAGAAGCAGCTGTGCCTCTGGGATGAGGACCCCTAGCCAGGCTGGGACGAGGGGTGGTCCCCGAGGCAGCTGCCAAGGACCCACTGCCCCTCCCCGAGCCGCCAGAGGGGGTGCCCCCAGCCCCGACAACCAAGGCCTTATCGCTCTTCTTCCCATCACCTAATCCTGGAGCCTCTGGCCCTCTCATCTGTGACTGTGAAAGGGGTGTGGTGTGGCAAGGGTTAACTCATGAAGGCAGCCCCCACTCCTGCCCCGTGCCTTCCTCGGGGACCCAGGGAGAAGGGGGGTTCTCCAAGCTTGCCTCCCCTCCTTCATCTCCCCGAAGTGTTCACTTTCAAGCACCCAAAATGTGACGGCCTATGACTCTCCTATTTAACTCTTCGAAGGTTTAGACCCTGAACGGTGTCTGTGCCTGTCTACCCACCTCCCCACACACAACCCCTGCCCCACCGTTGGGAAGGACCTGGCCCCTGTGCGCCGTCCCACTGCCCAGCAAGGACGGGGAGAATCATTGCACCCGAGGGGGAGCAGCCCCAGCCACGGATCTCAGTGCATTCCTCTCACCGCTGGCCTCGGAGGCCGCCGTCCCCAGCCCTGACACAGACCGCATGTGCCTTTCTGCAAACCTGGACTCGGCCACGGGAGCAGGTGCTGGCTGGCTCCCTCTAAACAGAAATATTTTTGTAAGGTTCTGGGACAGGGAGGGAGCATGAAGTATGAGGAAAACTTGAATTCCAGATTTTTAATGCAAAATATTTATCATTTGTACCAGAAATAAAAGTTTAAATTTTTACTTGACTTGACGGTTCTAGACGCAGAGTTCTGAGAGAATATTTGGCCAATGCTGCCACCTGGTGTCAGGAGACATGGCCCTGTCTAGGGAACCCGTCTCGGGGACAGCCTGTCTAGGGACAACTCCTGAAGCACCTACTGTGTGCTCAGTCTTGGGTGGGGGGTGAGGATGTAGCTGGGGGTGGGTATTACTAGGAAAAGATATAACAAAACTTCTGCACTTAAGAGAATGAGACAGACACAGGTAAGCAGTAAAAGACACCATGAGATAGATGAAAATTCTGATCTAGACTTCTCCAGGGATCAAATCCTGGAAATAGGTTTGTTTGTTTGTTTGTTTCTATTTTAGGGCTTCCCAGGTGGTGTTAATGGTAAAGAAGAATGCAGGAGACATAAGAGACCTGGGTTCAATCCCTGGGTCAGGAAGATCCTCTGGAGGAGGGCACGGCAACCCACTCCAGTGTTCTTGCCTGGAGAATCCCATGGACGGAGGAGCCTGGCGGGCTACAGTCCATGCAGTCACAAAGAGTCGGACATGAATGAAGCACACACTCATTGAACTACAATTGATTTACAATGTTGAGTTAGTTTCTGTTGTACAGCAAAGTGATTCAGTTGCACGCGCACACACACACACGCACACACATATATAATTGTTTGTTAATCCCAAACTCCCAATCTATGCTTCCCCACCATCCCTGCTTTCTTGGCAACTACAAGTCTGTTCTCTATGTCTGTGAGTCTGTTTCTGTTTTGTAGATAAGTTCATTTGTGTTATATTTCAGATTCTGCATGTAAGTGATATTATATGGTATTTGTCTTTCTAATTTACTTAGTATGATCATCTCTAGGTTCATTCATGTTGTTCAAATGGCATTTTAATTTTTTTTATGACTGACTAGTATTCCCCTGATACATGTACCACTTTTTTTTTATCCATTCACCTGTCGGTGGACATTTAGATTGTTTCCACATCTTGGCTATTGTAAACAGTGCTTCTAAGAACATAGGGGTACATGTTTCTTTTTAAATTAGAGTTTTGTCTGGATAGATGGCCAGGAATGGGATTGCTGGATCATATAGCAATTATATTTTTAGATTTTTGAGGAAACTCCATATTGTTTTCCATAATAGCTGTATCAATTTACATTCCCACCAGCAGTGTAGGAGGATTCCCTTTTCTCCACACCCTCTCCAGCGTATTATCTGTAGACTTTTAAATGATGGCTATTCTGACTGGTATCTCTGATTTTCTTGAAGAGATCTCTAGACTTTCCCATTCTCTTGATGAAAGTGAAAGGAGAGTGAAAAGGTTGGCTTAAAGCTCAACATTCAGAAAACTAAGATCATGGCATCTGGTCCCATCACTTCATGGCAAATAGATGGGGAAACAGTGTCAGACTTTATTTTCTTGCGCTCCAAAATCACTGCAGATGGTAACTGCAGCCATGAAATTAAAAGATGCTTGTTCCTTGGAAGAAAAGTTATGACCAACCGTGACAGCATATTAAAAATCAGAGACGTTATTTTGCCAACAAAGGTCCATCTAGTCAAATCTATGGTTTTTTCCAGTAGTCATGTATGGATGTGACAGTTGGACTATAAAGCTGAGTGCCAAAGAATTGATGCTTTTGAACTGTGGTGTTGGAGAAGACTCTTGAGAGTCCCTTGGACAGCAAAGAGATCCAACTAGTCCATCCTAAAGGAAATCAGTCCTGAATATTCATTGGAAGGACTGATGCTGAAGCTGAAACTCCAAGTTACTTTCGCCACCTGATACGAAGAACTGACTCATTGGAAAAGACCCTGATGCTGGGAAAGATTGAAGGCAGGAGGAGAAGGGGACGACAGAAGAAGAGGTAGCTGGATGGCATCACCGACTCAATGGACATAAGTTTGAGTAAACAACGGGAGTTGGTGATGGACAGCGAGGCCTGGTGTGCTGCAGTCCATAGGGTCGCAAAGAGTCGGACACAACTGAGCAACTGAACTGAACTGAACTGATTCTGACTGGAGTGAGGTGATACCTCATGGTCGTTTTGATTTGCAGTTCTCTAACAATTAGCGAGGCTGAATATCTTTTCATGGGCCTACTGCTGGCCATGATTCTTATTTGCTGTGTAGTCTTGATTTGTTACTTTACCTCTCTGTACCTCAGCTCTCTCAGCTACAAAATGAGCTTAATTTTGAGGCTCCAGTGAATTTATATGTGTACGTGCCCTTCACAGAATGCTCACTGTGCTAGTTGCCATTAATATTGTTACTGTTCATGAGAAGAGCAGCTATTTCCTCATTTACAAACCAAAGACAACTAAGCTGGGCATCTTTTTAAAAGTCATTTACTTTAAAAAAAAAAATGTATTACATATTTTGGCTGAGCTGAGTCTTAGTTGTGGTCTGCAGGATTTTTTTTTTTTTTTTTTAGTTGCAGCATGTGAATTCTTAGTTGCAACTTATGGATTCTTAGTTGCAGCTTGTGGAATCTAGTTCCCCGATGAGGGATCAGACTGGGGTCCCTTGCATTGGGAGGGTGAAGTCGTAGCCACTGGATCACCAGGCAAGTCCCAGCCAGGGATCTTGAAGGCCTCTTCACTTCCAGAGTATCTCCTAGTATAAAGAGGCTGTAATATGAAGTGCTGGGCCAGATACTGAGGACTTCCAAGAAGGAGGGACATGCATGGCTGAGTTGACTGGGGAAGGTTTCCTGGGATGGGATGGGAAGAGGTTGAGACCACAGGCTGGTCAGGATTTGGCAAGGTAGAGGGGACTGTGTGAGCACAGGGCAGAGACTGGAGTGTTTCAGGGTTAGGCAAGTTCCAGGGGTCACAACTCCTTAGAGGCAGGAGCCTTCCCCACAGACCTTGCAGAGGGAAAGGGGCTTGCTGAGCTGCCCCATTATTCTGCTCCCCAGCACCCCTAGAGCAGGCTGCTGCTGCCTCTTTTTTTTTTTTTTCCATTTATTTTTATTAGTTGGAGGCTAATTACTGTACAACATTGCAGTGGTTTTTGTCATACATTGAAATGAATTAGCCGTGGATTTACATGTATTCCCCATCCCGATCCCCCCTCCCACCTCCCTCTCCACCCGATCCCTCTGGGTCTTCCCAGTGCACCAGGCCCAAGCACTTGTCTCATGCATCCAACCTGGGCTGGTGATCTGTTTCACCCTTGATAATATACATGTTTCGATGCTGTTCTCTTGAAACATCCCACCCTCGCCTGCTCCCACAGAGTCCACAAGTCTGTTCTATACATCTGAGTCTGCTGCTGCCTCTTGAACTGTGCTGGTCAGAGGGTTGTGCAGGGAGCCAGGTTTGCTTGGCCATGGTCAAGTTAGGGGTTGAAGGGTGGGGAGATATCCTTTTCAAGTGGACATGCCTCTTTCTGTGCCTCTTTTCGAGGACCAGCTTCAGTCCTGCCAGGGGACAAGCAGGGCAGGCGTTCTTCCCCAGGCTGTCCCTCTGCCTAGGGTCTTCAGAAAGGTGCCTAGATAGGGTGGGTGGAGCCACAGAGGAATCTGGCCAAAAGTGGGGCCGGGACTGCTCCCCAGAAGCAAAGCTTGAGGCTAACAATGCACATGAAGAATGTAGCAACCGGCCCAGTCCCATCTCTGGATGACTTCACCGCCTTCCAAGACCCCAGTTCCACTGCTCACTAACAGAGAGGGCCTCTCTAGGGCATCTTCCCAAACACTGGCATTCACCATGTAGAGGCTGCCAGGCATCCTACTGTAAATAGTTGGCCGTTTGACTTGTTACTGAGTTGCTAAGTTGTGTCTGACTCTTCTGGGACCTCATGGACTGTAGCCCACCAGGCTCTCCTGTCCACCGAATTCTCTGGGCGAGGATCCTGGAGTGGGTTGCTATGCCCTTCTCCAGGGGACTTTCTCGACCCAGGGATCAAACCCGGGTCTCCTGCCTTGCAAGGAGATTCTTTTTGCCTCTGAGCCACCAGAGAAGCCGGGCAATTGAATTGCTTCCTGTGACTGGTTCCTACGGCCAGCATTCGGTAGGTTCTGTGCAATCACCTCCAGATGGCGCTGTTCCAGTTTATTCTGCATTGCCACTAGCAGTGTGTGAAAGGCCCCATTTCCCCACATTGCTGCTGTATCAGTCAGGGTTCTTCAGAGAAACAGAACAGAATATATGTGTGTATACATGCAGACATATATACATATATAGGTAAATACATAAACACACATATATATACAGTTGATATATATACACACACACACAACTGAATTCATTTCACATGCTAGCAAGGTGATGCTTAAAATCCTTCAAGCTAGGTTTCAACAGTATGTGAACCGAGAACTTCAGATGTACAAGCTATATTGAGAAAAGGCAGAGGAACCAGAGATGGAATTGCCAACATCCACTGGATCATAGAAAAAGCAAGAGAACTCCAGGAAAACATCTATTTCTGCTTCATTGACTACACTAAAGCCTTTGACTGTGTGGATCACAACAAACTGTGGAAAATTCTTAAAGAGATGGGAATACCAGACCACCTGACCTGCCTCCTGAGAAACCTGTATGCAGGTCAGGAAGGAACAGTTATGGATTTGGAACAATGGACTGGTTCCAAATTGGGAAAGGAGTATGTCAAGGCTGTATATTGTCACCCTGCTTATTTAACTTATATTCAGAGTACATCATGCAAAATCTTGGGCTGGATGAAGCACAAGCTGGAATCAAGATTGCTGGGAGAAATATCAATAACCTCAGATATGCAGATAACACCATCCTAATGGCAAAGAGTGAAGAGGAACTAAAGAGCCTCTTGATGAAGGTGAAGGAGGAGAATGAAAAATTTGGCTTAAAGTTAAACATTAAAAAACTAAGATCATGGCATCTGGTCCCATCATTTCATGGCAAATATATGGGGAAATAAGGGAAACAGGGACAGACTTTATTTTCTTGGGCTCCAAAATCAGTGGATGGTGACTGCACCCATGAAAGTAAAAGACACGTATTCCTTGGAAGAAAAGCTATGACATACCTAGAC